ATTTTAACGAGCTTATACTCGAATCGAACGGCTCGACAAGACAAATCCAATGAGCATAAGATCACCAAATTTAGACATCATTAAGGCCTCCAAATGTCCAACAAATGGTGCACGATCGAAGGGTTCAATATCAGCCGTCCATTCAAACCACTCCCAATTCGCCCCTGATCTCACAACTATTTACAAGCCATGCCACTCCAGAAAAACTATAAATAGAGTCCTCATTCTTCACAAGAGGGACTCGAGTGAAGAGAGAGAGAGAAGAAGAGAATAAGGGGGAGAAGGAAGAAGCTCCTCCTCGACCACCACCGGAGCTCTTCCCGCCACTTGAAGACGCCAGAACTCTGCCGGATTTTCGGGAAATGCTAGGAATTTGCAGAACTTTGTAAACTTGCTTGAAGAAACGAATTGTAATCTGATTGCCCCGACTTGTGGGACGAATCAACCATTTGTAATTTGCAAAACACTAGTGAGATTTTTCAACTGGGCGAGGCCCTGTGGTTTTTTCTCTTTTTGGGTTTTCCACGTAAAAATTCGGGTGTTCGTATTCACTTTTCTGTTTGTGTGCTGAATACTCGTACAACGCTTGGACGCGAATTTAAAAACTCTACCGCCACGTATCTCTAGCACGCAACATATATATATATATATATATAATACTAATCTCAAGTCAAATCTAATGATTCCCTAACCCATATTAATATAATTTTTAGCAGAATATCCTTCACAATTTTTTTTGTCTAAAGATGTTCTGATTCGTAATGATAAAACTGATAAATACTCTTAAATGCATATAATGCAAGTGCCTAATTAATAATAAATGACATGTGTAGATTAATTAGTAGTTAAAAAAGCTAAGTTGTTGAATGGCATATAATTTAAAATATGACATAAATTTTATTTAATAGAACACATCTTGCTCCTATATAGATGAGGCATGCTTGTTTGCTTGCTCGCTTTGATTATAAGAAAGCAAATATTGAAAATCATGCAGTCATTTAATTATTATACCAAAAATTTCTTTTATACTTTAAATGTATGATTTGGCTCATTTGGGCTTGAATCAGATCATTTTTTATTGTTTGTCTTATTAAGACATTTAAGCTTCATTTGAGAGGTTTACTTACTGTTTTTTAAAATAAATTTTAAAATATTTTTAAAATAAAAATTTATGTACTAGAAAGTTGCTTTAGAAAATAATTAAAAAATTGTCCCAAATAAAGACTTAATTTGATAATACAACAACAACACCACCAAGCCTTTGTCCCACTACGTGAATCATTTTTCTTAATTGTGTCATGTTAAAAGTCAAATTCTCGTTTAAATCTAATAAAAAAAGATAATTTCTAATATGTTTTAACCAAGTTTTTTTATGTACACATCCACCTTTCTTAACATATGTTGAATCTAATACCTTTATTTTCCTAACCGGGCCATCAGAAGGTCGCCGTTTTAAGTGACCAAACCATCTAAGACTACTCTCTCTAATCTTATCTTCCACAGGAGCTACTCCAACCTTTTCACGTATACAATCATTTTAATGTGATAATAAAATTGCTAAAATTAAAGTTCAACTAATCCTAAATTTTATTACAAAAATTTCAATTCTAATACAAAATTAAGAGTCTCACTTGATTCTATAAATTTCCCCATGATGCATCATGGTAAACATGTAAAAATGACAAGCACAGAAAAAAAATATCGCTATAATTTGTTATAAATTTAATAAAATCATGATTACAATTTATGATTGACGCCAATTTTTTCCCTATATTTTCTCTCTTTAGATTCGGTTCTGAAGCAACTAACGATGAAGTTGGAACTTGGAAGTAAGCCGCCGTTAAGTGACGGCACGATAACCGTACACCGATCCATTCGCTGAGAGCGCGAAAGCGGTCGCCGACCGCCCGCCAAAACCAGCAAAAACTTTATTAAAAAATAAAAACCAGTACACAACCCTCCTTGGCCTATTGGTTGAAAGCTTAGGCTTCCAACTAAAAGGTCCAAAATTCGAGTTCATATAATGTTTGAGTTTATCTTAAATGGCCTAAATGTCCCAAAAAAAAAAAAAAAAAAAAAAAACCAGATGTTCTACGCGCACCCACGTTTCTGTTCTCTATCCCGTCCATGTACCTCCCCACGTGTCACACAACGTCCGCTCTGCACCCAAAACCGCACCCGTTTCACTTCGGGTCCAATGATTCCCTTCAGTCAACATCTCCCTCCGCTCTTCATTCTCTCCTCGCAAGCATGTCACTGGCGTGATAATTAATTCGGGAGATCCAAATCGACGCTGTACCATCTCGAAACCCTTGTGAACTTCCCCTGCCTCGGATCTTCACTATCCGACCTTGCGAGCAGTGATCGTTTGCTAAAGAGGACGGCGGCGGTCACCATAGCCCAGGAGGAGGATGGCGCTGTTCAGGAGGCTGTTCTACAGGAAGCCGCCGGATCGGTTGCTCGAGATCTCCGAGAGGGTCTATGGTAATGCATGTACTTCGGGTTTGGTTTTGGCATTCCAGTTAGATTGAAGAGGGTGCCTGGTGGTTTAGTGGTGTTTTTTTGATATTTTGGTATGATTGCCGGATTTATTGTGATTGGTGGCGGGTGGAGGGTGTGAGGAGTTTTTGGCGGGGGAATTGTTGTGTTTTGGAGAGAAAAAGGTTGTAGATCTTGGACTGGGGATGAAAACCCTGAGATCACGATTAGTTAGGTGTTTTATAATTTTAAGGGATCTTTCTTGGCGCGGGGATTTGGCGTTTATTGGATGCATTATCTGTAAATAAAATGAAGTTGCTCACGTATGTAAATAGCGACAAGGCTTTAAGGTGTTGAGTTGAGCTTATGGAATGACGAATTTCTGGTTTGTTTTATTTTGCTACGTTCTCGGCGTGCCATGTTAAAGATTTGGTTTCCTCTTTTTTTGGACTGCAATTTCTGTTTGTTTTTTCTCTTTGATCTGTATCCGCGAGTTTAATCTTTGGCTTTGCTAAGTTGCAATTTTATGTATCACTTCTAGCGACTGTCTGTGACCGTTGATAGGTTCTGTTTAGAACTCGAGAATTTATTGTTTTGGATGAAATGATCGCTAATTTTTTCCTGGAAAATTTATTTCGTTTGCAGTGTTTGACTGTTGCTTCTCCTCTGAAATTATGGAAGAACATGAGTACAAGAATTACCTGGGATTTATAGTTGCAGAGCTTCAGGATCACTTTCCTGATACCTCATTTATGGTATGTAACTTTAGGGAAGGAGATAAGAAGAGCCATATTTCCGATATTTTGTCAGAGTATGACATGACAGTCATGGACTACCCTCGGCAATATGAACGCTGTCCATTGCTTCCATTGGAAATGATCCATCATTTCCTGAAGTCAAGTGAGAGCTGGCTGTCACTTGAAGGGCAGCATAATGTTTTGCTGATGCATTGTGAGAGAGGAGGATGGCCTGTTCTCGCTTTCATGCTTGCGGGCTTTCTTCTTTACAGGAAGCAATACACTGGGGAGCTGAAGACTCTTGAAATGGTCTATAAGCAAGCTCCCAAGGAGTTGCTTCATCTCTTTTGCCCCTTGAATCCACAACCTTCTCACCTGAGGTATCTGGAATACATAACCAGGCAAGGTGGCGGGATGGAGTGGCCCCCTAAGGATAAACCCTTCTTTTTGGAATGCATCATACTCAGTGTTGCCCCTAGTTTTGATGGCAAGGGAGGTTGCCGACCTGTTGTTCGGGTTTATGGTCAAGACCCCCAAATTCCAATTAACAGGACCTCAATGATTCTTTTTTCAACTCCGAAGACCAAAAATTGTGTTCGTCATTTTAGACAGGTTCTGCTTGTTTTTGGTGAACTTAATTAATGTGTGTATTTGTTAGCTTTATTGACATTGGTATATAATTACAGGAAGAGAGTGCTGAAGTAAAACTAAATGCCAGATGCCATGTTCGAGGAGATGTCATAATTGAGTGCATCCATGTGGATGAGGATTTGGAGCAGGAGGAGATGATGTGCAGAATTATGTTTAACACCGCATTTGTCGAGTCTGATATGCTGACTTTGAATCGTGATGAAATTGATGTGGCCTGGAATGCAAAAGATCAGTTTCCAAGAGATTTCAAAGCAGAGGTAGGTTCCTGTATTTTGTTAAGTGGAATTTCATGTTCCTTTTATGGTAAAATTTGAAAGCACATTCATGCTCGAATCAGGTAATCCTTTCAGAGTTTGCCGCTGCTGAATCGGAAGTGACTCCAAAAGTAACAGCTACAGATGATCACGATGATGAAAGGGAGGGTGGTTCAACCGAGGAGTTTTTTGAGGCAGAAGAGATTTTCAACAACTCAGAAATGCATGTAGACGCTCAATTACTTCGTACCAAGAGCATACTTGAAGTCAGTGGTCCAAATTCTGATATTCTTTTAACTGATAATGTTGTGAAGAGATTAAAAGATACATTTGCTTTGGAGAACTCCAATAATTCCATCAATGAAATGTTTAAAAGAATTGATCGAATGGATGTACTTTTTGAACCTTCAGTGATGGAAGGTCAAGTGAAAAGCACATTTGAAGCAAGTGTTTCTGAACAGGATGTTATTTCTGAAAAAAATTTTAACCTGGATAATGTGATTGCACTTGAAGAGAAGAGAATGTTAGAAAGCAGCGTTTTGATGAGGAAAACTGATGCTTTTTGTTCAACGGTTGATGGAGAATCATCAGAATATGGCAATATCACCCCCAAAACAATTCATACATCGCAGATAACAAATTTTATTCAAACAGCAATTAGTGCAGATGTTGCAGGTTGTGAAATGGAGAACTTCACATTTATAAATGAAGGAAATAGTAGTATGGCTGGTAGTAATGTTTGCAGAGAGAGCACGAAGAGTGCTATTCCTCAGAGAACATCCATTTTGGATAGTCATGATCTGAAGAATGCTTCCGCAAACAAAGCAAATAAAGTATCTATCTTGGATGGAAGGGGTTGCAACGCAATTGATGTAAGTACAGTTGATCAAACAAAACATAAGATGAATAGAAGTAATTGCGAGCATGGCACGAGGAGTGAGCTGAAGGTATATTCTGACAGCAGATTGGAAACCCCATGCTCTGCAGATCAAGTGGAAAGCAGATCAGAAATTACCATCCATGATAAAGCAATTATTGCAGAAAAGTTGATATCCTTAAATGAGATGAATAATGTTGAAGAAAATAATGTAGGAGAAATCAACAACTTAAAACAGGAAGGGGCCGTAGCTCCTCTGCCCATGGAACAAAAGTGTACCACGGAAATAACTCATCTTAAGTTTGTTGTGGGTGTTTTCGTCCATAAGGAGTCTGAGGATGATACAATTGATAAACCAAGCACCCTCATTTTGGATGCTGAAGCTAAGAGTGTATTTGAAATAAGTGATTCAAAAAATGATCCGGAGAAGATATCTATTTTTAAGGAACCTATTAGTGGCGAGAAGACTCAGGTGGTTAGTTCCGTCAGTGTTCTCCATAAAGGGATTTGTACGCAAGGAAGCGTCGATTATAAAAGAGATAACAACAATAAAGCCAGCGAGCCACAGTCGTTCCCTCAGATGACAGAAAGTGGTACTGAGATACAAAATAATGAGAAAGTTTTGCCATGCATGTTAGGAAAAAACTCAACAAAAAGTAGCCAACAATCTGAACCTGTTATTGTAAAAAATAAGTCTATCCAACAAGAAGGTTCAAATTTACTCGCAAAAACAAAACTTATTCCTCGATGGATATCCCCCAAAAGAACTTCTGATGCTACGTCAGTACATTGGCAGTCTAATCCACTATCAAGGTATAACAGTTCACCACCTGCTTTAGCCATTTTTTTTCATGCAAATGATGAAAGGGCCAATACTAAGGATATTCTAGGACAACATGATTCTTTGAATGGGAATGTTACTTCAATGGGTGGAGCGCCATCACCATCTCTTTCAGCATTGCTGCCTTCAAAGCAGAACCTTGTTCATGTATTATCATCATGCCATCATGTTTCAGCTTCATCTCTTCTGGTGCAACCTTCACCACTTTCTCCACAATCACCAAGAATGCCATCGGTGCAACAATGTAGTTTCCGCACAAAAAAATCTTCTCCAACTCCACCTCCACCTCCACAACCTCCACCTCCACCTTCTAAGCCTGGAGATGCTTTTCATGTACCCTCTTCGCTTTTTTCTTACCCTCCTGAACCCCCGCTGCCTCCACCACCTCCTATAACTTCACAAATCTCAGTGCATCATTGTTCACAACCTTCTTCTCCAACCTTACGAACTGAAACAACATTCACTCCTCCCTCTTGGCCTTCACCTCTTGCGAGCACTACTCCCCTTTCCAAATTTTCATCTCCTACTCTAGCTCCACCACCGCCACCTCCTCCTCCTCATCCTCCTCCTCCACCACCACCACCACCACCACCACCCATCTCATATGGATCATCTGTGAAGGGCACTCTTTTATCTCCTTATTTACCTCTAGTATTTGATCCACCCCCATCCCCATTATTGAGGAATTCCCCTCCTCCTCCTCCTCCTCCTCCTCATCCTCATACCCCTCCCCTACCTTATGGAGGAACATATAATGCTGTTCCAATTCTTCCACCATCTCCACCAAAGCCAAATGTTGGTGGATCCACACCATCAATACCCGCTCCCCCTCCACCTCCTCCTAAGCCAAGTATTGGTGGATCAATTCCATGGCCTCCTTTAATGACAGATGTTAGTGGATCAACTTCTTTGATATCCCCTCCCCCTCCACCTCCACCTCCCCCTCCTCCTACTCCTCCTCTTAAACCAATTGCTGGTGGATCAGCTCCATACCCTCATCTTTTAAATGCTTCTACGAATAACTCTCTTAAAGCACCCCCACCCCCACTTCCTATATCATCAGACCCACCTTATGGAGGAGCATCTAATGGCATCCCTCCTCCTCCTCCTCCACCTCCCTCAAAGTCGAATAATGGTGGAGCACCTCCTCAAATGCCCCCTCCCCCTCCACCTCCTATGTCAACGATTGGTGGATCAACTCCATGCTCTCCTCCTTTGAAGGCCTCCATAAAAGGCTCTTTAGGAGCATCTTTTCCACCTCCACCTCCACCTCCTGTATCATCAGCAACTTTGCAGCCTCCAAAAGATCCTCTTATGTTGAGAGTTCCTCCACCACCGCCTCCCCTTATTGCACATCTTGAAGCTACACATCCCTCCCCTCAACGTGCAAGTGGAGTCCCACCTCCACCACCACCTCCACCTAGGAGTTGTACCAATGCTCCTCTTCACCCTGAAGGGAATCAGGGAGCTCCACCACCACCACCACCTCCATATGTTGGACGTGGTAGTGCCCCACCTCTACCCAATGGACGTGGTTGTGCTCCCCCTCCCCCACCTCTACCTGGTGGACGTGGTTGTGCTCCACCTCCCCCTCCTCCTCCTGGAGGACGTGGAACTCTACCAGCCCCCCCTAGAGCTCCTGGTGTTCCCCCACCACCACCAGTTGGTACTCCTAATACTTCAAGTGGCTCAAGAGGTCCGGCACCCTTGAGTTCGTTGGCTATAGGAAGAGGTCAAGGGATTTCACGTCCTATTGGCTCAGGCTCATCTTCACAAGCACCTCGGAGGTCATCGTTGAAGCCATTACACTGGGTGAAAGTAACAAGAGCTGTGCAAGGAAGCTTATGGGCTGATTTACAGAAGTTTGGTGATGCTCAAAGGTATCTCAAATATTTCATTCATCAACATCGTAGAATCCTATTTTTTGTACCAAAGATTGATTTGTCCTACTCTAATGTTGATTTGAGGACAATAAGTTGATGCTTATGATTAGTTCTCTTCATATGGCTGCAACTCCGCTGGATGCATTCCCTAGCAATTTGGTGCTATGTGGGTGGTAGGGCCTACCCATCTGGCCCCTCCTGCCCTGTGGCACCAATTAAGTGTGTGCCACATTGCAACGGATGTTGCTGGTACAAAGAAAGCTGCTCTTCAACTTATATGATGGTTCTAAATGGTGTTTATATCTTTTGTAATTGATAAGCTTGGTTGCAGAATTTCCATATGCTTACTCCATATGAGCAATATTTTCCTGCAGTGCTTCAGATTTTGATATGTCGGAACTGGAATGTCTCTTCTCCGCAGCCGTGCGAAAGTCAGAAGACAGCTCAAAAGCAGATGGGAAGAGGAAATCTCTTGGATCAAAATCTGATAAAGTTCACCTGGTAACTAATGGGTACCAACTTCTCTAGTACCAATTCTTATCCTGTGTCCGTGAATTTATTTGATGCAATTTTCAAGGTTATCGTTGGTTTTGTTGTTTGCAGACTGCTTGTATATGCTTAGTTATCGAACATTGATTTAATTTTGGCAATTTCTTCCCACATTCCACGTCCATGCTTCATGGCACCATCCCTCTTATGAGCCTAACCACGCATCCCAGCCCCAACAAAAAGATAACAAAAAATGCTGAGCTCTTATAGCCTTAGAAAAGCGAAGGCTGGTCAATTAATTGAATTATTACATCAAATACTCGAGCATTGCGAATAGTCATCTTTGAAGTTGGACATACTGCAAATTGTGATTGTTTAGGATAGTTTAGGTTTCCATTCCAGATTTTATAAAGACAGATGAAAGTGGTTATTCCAAATGCGTATGCTTTGTTGCTTCTTACTCCTTGTTTATGTTAACAGCAATCTAATTTGCTGGTAAATAAACATGCTCAAAGAAAAGTGTGATTCACACTAAGCCAAATTTGCATGTATTGACAATTTGGCATTTGGTGTTGCACTTTGTCATCTTATCTCTGCAAAGCTTTCCATGCAACAAAAATCAAAATTTTCAACAATCAAGATTCTCTTAAGCTTTGAAAAATTAACCATTCATTCAGTGTACTATAAGCACTATGATTCACACTAAGCCAAATTTGCATGTATTGGCAATTTGGCATTTGGTGTTGCAGTTTGTCATCTTAACTCTGAAGCTTGCCATGCAACAACAATGGAAATTCTCAACAATCAAGATTCACTTATACTTTGGAAAATTAACCATTCATTCAGTGTGCTACAAGTACAATGTTTTGCACAAGTAGGATGTTTCAAATCCTAAATATTATTGAACTTGCTTTGATTTCAAAGGTGGCAAGTTTGGGAAAGAAGGCCAATCCCCTAATCATCTATCGATCTTCTAATCCAAGGTGATATCTGGATGTTAGTTAAAAGAATGCCCCATCTATTCACCATTGTTTGTGGAATAAATCCAAAACTATATTCTAATGTAGATTAAGCTCCAATATTAATACTTCTGTCATATAAGTCAACAACTTGGTTTGCATTGCAACCAAATCATTTCAGGCTGTTAAGCATCCATCAGAAACTAACATTATCCCAATGTAAGCGGTTGAAAATATTTAGTTTCTCTAAACTTGTTGTTGTTGGGTCCTGATCCCTGACTGAGAAAAGTTGAGGGTCGCATTAGGTAGTCGACGGTCGACTTAAAACTTGTTTAACATTCATGACATGAATCCTTTAATACATTGTGTTAAGGCTAGGGTATTTCCTGGAAGCGACGCAATGTATGATCTGACACCTGGGTGCAGTGTTAAATAAGCAAGGGTTCTTATATCATGGATGGATGCAGGAAAAAAAGTTAGTCTATGGAACTAGAATCAAAAGAAAAAATTTAAATATAGGCTCTCTTATAGGCAAAATTATGAAATTTATAACTATTATGATTCATAGGAAGATAAATATTCTGTGTTTTCAAGAAACTTAATGGGTTGGGATAAATGTTAAGAAAATTTTGATAGTTTAGGATTTAAACTATGGTATTTAGGTAGGAGCCATACTAGAAACAGTAAGTGTGATTATAAATAAGAGTTTGAAGGATAAGATTATAGAAATGAATATAATTAGAGTTGTAATTATAGCTTTACAAATTATTGTTGATGTTAAAATTATAAATGTCATAAGTACTTCTGCTCCTCAAATATGTTTGTATATGTCTTCAAAAATAAAAGTTTGGAATGCTTTAGAAGAGTTGATACAAATGATACATCTTAAAGAAAGAGTTTTTATTAGAGGGATTTAAATGAATATGTTTGTAGTGTGGTAGAAGATTTTAAAAGTATTCATGATGACTATGAGTTTGGAGTGACTAATAATGGTGGTAGGACTATATTATATTATGCTCTAGTTTTTGATTTTGTAATTGCTAATACTTTATTTAAAAAAAGAGAAAATCATCTTATCACTTATGAGAATGGACATAGTAAAATTCAGATTGATTATTTTTCTTATAAATAAAATATATCGTTTAGATTGCAAAGATTATAAAGTCCTTCCAAGTTAAAGTTTATGCATCTAACATTGATTATTAGTTTTAGATTTTTAGATGAGTGGTGAAATATGAAAAATAAAATAAAATATTATTTTATGATTAGATGGCGGCATTTAAAAAAAATGCTAATTAAAATATTTTTGATCAAGATTGAGTTTTTCATGAGGAAGCTAATGTTATGTGAGAAAAGATAGTAATAATATTAGGAATGTTTTAAAATATGTGCTTGAAGAGTTGAAAAGAAAATGTTATAATAGTAAAAAATAGTCGGTGGTGTGTTCAAAATATATTATTCTTTGAACTATGTTTGATTATAGAAATATCAATTTTCAAAACCCTATTTTGATATTGAATCCATTGTAGAATATTATGTCAGCCTCTCGAGACCGTACTTTATTCTCAATGCAGTATTCAATTTCAAAATAGGAGAAATCAAAATCTACGTGGTGTAACACAATTTTTCCCACCAATATAAAAACTCAAAAAATTAGAAAATATGTAGAGGGGCTTGTAGGGATTCCAAAAAAGTAATATGCGATGTTAAGAGTTTAGCTTTTAGTGATTTATGTAATAGATTATATACTAACAAGAGGGAAAATATATGTAGAAATTAGCTAAACAAAGAGATAGAAGAAGTAAAAATCTAGTTTAAGTGAAGTGCAGTAAGAATGAAGATAAAAAATTACTTTTATTAAAAGAGGATATTCAACTTAAGTGGATGAGATGTTTCGAGTAGCTTTTCAATGAATATTGTGAGAATACGAGTGACTTTAGTGATCTTAGCACCCTAAATGGAAATAATTTTTTTTATCATCTTATTAATAAAATCAAAGTTGTAGAGGCTTTAAATAAATTAAATTGTGAAAAAACAGTAGAACCTGATGATATTTTAATGGATGTGTGGAAATTCTTAGGAGATCAATAAATTTATTTGCTTACTAAAATTTAAATATTAATTTGAAGACTAAAAATATGCAAGATGAGTGGAGGAGTGTTTTGGTTCCTATTTTTAAGAATAATGTTGATGCATAAGAGTGTGTAAATTATGGAGGAATTAAGTTATTTGTCATGCATTAAAATTATATGAGAAAGTAATTGAGCATATGTTACGATGTGATACTAATTTATCTCAAAATCAATTTGGATTCATGTTGGGTAGGTCGATTATGGAAGCTATACATTTATTGAGTGGTTTGATGGAGAAGTATAGAGAGAGAAAGGAGGTATTGATTTATAGAAAGCATATGATAAAGTTCCAAGATAAATGCTTTGGAGAGTTCTAGAAAAAAAATGAGTTTATAATGTTAGTATATAGGAGTTGTTATTTGTGTTCAAACACAAGTTGGGTTGACAAAGTATTTTTTTTATTTCAGTTGGATAACATCAAGGATCTTGCTTTATCTTTTTTTCTTTAGTCATGGACGTTTTTACTAGACATTTGCAAGAGGATTTACCTTGGAGTATTTTTTTTGCTGATGATATTCTTCTTGTTGATGAGACTAGAGAGGAAGTTGATGAAAAACTTAAATTTTGGAGGTCAACTTTAGAGTCTAAAGGTTTTCGTTTGAGTAGATTTAAAACTGAATACACTGAGTGTAATTTTAATAGTAATAGATCGTGGTGGTATTATGACATTGGGTGATTAAGTCATTAAAAAGAGTGCATGCCTTAGATATCTCAGATCTATTGTTCAAATGGTGAAATAGATGGGGATATTATTAGTAGAATTCAAATTTGATGGTTGCAGTGGAGGAATGCGTCTAGCTTGTTGTGCGATAGAAAAATAACCCTAAAACTTAAGAAAAAATTTTATAAGATAGTGGTAAGACCTGCAATGCTTTATGATGTAAAATGTTGACCATTAAAAAAAGAAACATAAATATAAGTGTTGCTGAGATGAGGATGCTTAGGTGGACGAGTGACTTTAGAGACAAAATACAAAATGATTGTATAAGTGAAAAGGTTGGAGTAGCTCTAGTAGATAAAATTAGAGTGAGTCGCCTTAAATGTTTTGGTCACATGAAGCGTCGTCCTTCTGATGATCCTGTTAGGAGAGTAGATGTATTATATATGACTTATGTTAAAAAATGTAGAGGTAGACTTAAAAAGATTTGGTTAGATAGTACATAAATGACATTTTTTTATTTAGATTTAAATAAGAATTTGATTTTTAATAGGTCACAATAGAGAAAAAAGATTTATATAGCCGACCCCACGTAGCGGGATAAAGACAGTATGTTTTTGTTGTTATTGTCATCTCTAAACCTTCTTTACATTGCCGCTGATTATAATAATGCATATATGTGTATCTTTGATGAGCCTTTTGCAAACAGAAGAGATTTAAACTATTTGCTATTGGCACCTATTTTGAATTCATCGCAAATTGCATGCTTATGTAAAAAGTTATCTTTAATTTTCCATCTTGGGAAAACTTTCTGGCCTCCAAAATGCCTTCCATAATCCATTTGAAGTACTTTAATTTATGTTATTTGTTAGGCTATATGGTGGCACTCCTATATAGAATTCACATAATGTTAACAAAGTTAATTGTTTCCATTTTTGTTGAAAGCTTGGAATTGTTATCTCACTTTTTTTAGCAGAAGATATGTTTCTATCGTGCTTATTTTGAACTCATAAATCTTAATTTGTCATGCAGATTGAACTTAGGCGAGCAAATAACACTGAGATCATGCTGACAAAGGTTAAGATGCCACTCCCTGATCTTATGGTAAGCAGTCATGTTTTATTATTGCTGTTATGAAAGCGTTATCATCCCTATAAAGATTGTGCTCATATGTATCTATATTTATAACGTTACATAGGCACTCCAGTTCAAAACTAGTCTTAACAAGTTCCTGGAAACTATTTTTTTTGCATTCAAGACAAAAAAACCCTTTTCTTTAAACTTCCATCATTTTCTTGTCATGATCATATTCACAATCATTAGCGTCATTGTCATCATAATTTTATGCACAGAATTTTGGCCTTATTTAATTTTCATTTGAACTTCTTTTGAAAAATTACTGTGTAGTTATTTGCACCTAAGACAACACGCAACTTAAATGCATGAAAAATGAGGATTCATACAATTGATTCCAAATAATTGGTGTAAGGCCAATGAATTAGTTATTAAAACCATGTGTTAAATGTTAGTTTTGAGTTTGGACTATGTACTTTAGTTTATGGTAAGTTGTTTTTTTTTTTTACTTGCAAATATGTTAGTTTTTGGTAGTTTTGAACTTAGGTGTTTTTATACATAAACACATTTATGGTATATTTAATATTGTAATGTTAAGTTCGGTTTTTGATGTATTAATTGTTGTTGTGAGTTGATCATGGAGAGCTTCTAATTGAAATGTCCAGGGATTTATACATTCCATAAAGTTTTTATTTATTTCCATTTATAATGGCTAAATTTTTATATTTATTGATATAACATCCCAATCTTAGAAATGACTTTTGTTGGGATTCTTGAGGAGAGCTTCTTGCTCTTTCTTGGATGAGAGGGAGAGAGGGAGAGGGAGAGAGAAACTATTGGAGACGAGAAACCAGGCTAAATCCTTTCTTCAAATCTTCTTCTCAAACAATATAATGCACTTCTATTTATAAACTAAAACAACCTAAAGAAGGGCAAAATAGTAAAACCTAAATTAACTAAAGATTGAACAAAAAATAATAACAATTTTCACATTGGTCCAATATTACAAAGCTAAGAAAACTAAAAAACAACTGTTTATCACAAAGAACAACCCTGTCAGTCTTCCCCGCTGATCAATTAGATGCTTATGCTCCATCTTTTCTCACTGGAACTCTCGCTCAACTGCCTGTAAGAACTCCCGTACAGATCCACATGCAACCGCTGTGCACACCTACGCGCAACATAGCTGGTCTGGCGCCCGACCCTGAGGCTCTACCTGCTTCTGATTACAAACCATAAGCCTATAGTGCAACTCGCCAGCCTTGACCTGGCTTCGCTCGCACCCCGCACAACACCCTCGATTCGCACGTCCAACCATAGTCCCGTGCCCCGTACCCAGCGCATTCGCGCTCGTCTGCCGGCAAAGTTCGTCCACGCGCCTTCGCCCGTGCCCCCGCAAGCCCTTCACAGTCTTTGGCGGCGGTTTCTTGATTGAAAGAAACTTCCTCCACCTCGAGATGGCCTCCACAAGGCTCTGATGCCAGTTTGTTGGGATTCTTGAGGAAGAAATGTTCTTTTCTCAGGAATTTCTTAGAATATTCCTTTCAATTGTGATACACAACCTATGCACTATATAAAGACATTGACACAGGTGTGATGTCTTGCAGAGCAACTTATCCTAAAATTGGATTAATCCTAACAATTGGTATCAGAGCAAAATGCAGCTTATACATGAAAAAGTTGGTGTAGCTCTAGTGGAAGATAAGATTAGAGAGAGTCGACTTAGATGGTTTGGTCATATAAAACGTAGGCCTTGATAACCCGATTAGGAGAATAGATGTATTAGATTTGGCTTATATTAAAGAAGGTAGAGGTAGGCCTAAAAAGACTTGGTTAGAAAATATTAGAAATGGCCTTTCTTTGTTAGTTTTAAATGAGAATTTGACCCTTAACAGGAAACAATGGAGAAAAATGATTCATGTAGCCGATCCCACGTTGTGGGATAAAGACTTGTTGTTGTTGTATTGATATAACAACCCAATCTCTTAATCACATAAAAACACTATGTGCATTAACTTTTCTAGTATAAAATGTACTTTTTTATGCATATGTATGGTATGAAGATTTAGATGGTATGTGTGGAAATCCCCCTTACATTTATAGTGTCTTAAAATGCTGGATTATTCAGGTTATTGAAACCGATATCATCCTATTGATATAAATCTTTTGAGTGCTTGTATTGAAAGAAAAGCTTGAAAACCCAAAGCCAGTTGCTGTTCAAAGAACAGTCCAAGGTTTTACTATAATAGGTTTGTTGGCACTTGTAGTGCAATAAATTTGCAATTGGAACTTTGGTATCCAGACTCCATCTCAAATGACACTGTTCAATTCTTAACACGACACTTGCTTGGACTTTATAGGTGGGTGTTTTATTCTGTTATGGGTTGATCAAGACGAGGCTTAGCTGCTTATCAGTGGCTCAGGCGTGATTTGTATCAATATGATCCACAGCTTGTTGAAGTACTTGAAATTTGATAAAGCAAGTTAATAGTCAATCTTTCAAAAAAAAGTGAAATGATACAAATCTGAGAATTTATGCTCTATTTGATATACAAATCATATGTGTTAATATCAATTTAACTATATCTATGTCATAGTTTTGTATTTTTAGTATTGTTATTGTTGTGAACATGAAATGATAGTGAATCCTATTGTGAACTAGTTGTATTTAAAAAAAAAAATTTGTTGTTTTTGTTTTGTTTGATTATTAGCTCCCTCCCGGATTTAAGCACCGTTCTTTTCTGTTCTCTAGTGTTAGTGGTTGTTTACTGTTCGCTAAGTTAATGAGTTTGGAAGAGCTGCATCTGTCATTGTTGCTGCGCTTGGTTCTCTGATTTCAGTAACTTTTCATATGGAATATGTTAAATTTCAGGATCATTTGAATGAAATATAAAACCAGAATATACTAATTTATAAAAAATGGACTATGTAAATGATCAGGCCAACAACTAGATGCATCCAAACACAACTGAAAACTGTGGCTTTTATAAATATCAATCTAAACTAAAACTGAAGTGCATCTTGTAAGTTTACTGCAAAATAAAATTAAGTAACAGATTCTAGCAATCAAATCAAATGGCACCGTAAATTGCAAATTAATGGATTCACTGAGTATGAAAGAGATAATAATAAACATGAACTATAAAAGTAAGAAAGAAAACAAGAACACAATAACAGTGATACTGTAAATTAAAAACAAGAACACAATACATATATATGATTCCACACGAGAGTGCTTGCATCTATGGGAAGAAACTGGTTCTTATCCTTATTGACCTTAAATCCCAGTTGGTTACAACATTTACCAGCTTTTCCCTGTTCTTGACCTCGGAAGTTTGTTATTTTGGGCTGTTTGGCTGCCCCCATTTCCCCTATAAATATGTGATGTTTTGTAAGTGAAAAAAGGATGTTATGTGAGTGATTTTTGGAGCCAAAACCTGCAGGTTTTCTTGGGAAAGCTTGCGAGCTTGTCCTCTCCTTCGTCTCGGCTTCTTACCTCTTTCTTCTCTCCGCAAGTTCGACGCCACTTGTATCCTTCTTCTCAAGTAATGGAAAGCAAGTTTAGGAGTTTTTATTTTCTTAAGTTTGTAAGTGTCTTTTTATATTATGAGAGTTGAATTGTATTTTGTTTAAGTTTTGTCGTTTTTATGTTATAAAATTGTTGTATTTTGTTATTTCAAGTTATAAGGAAGAGTGTCTTTGTTTCTTTTTGTGGCCAAGAGTCTCCTACTTGTTTTGGGAGGTTTTTGGTTGCATCATATAAGCGGGCAATGGCTTTGTTTTTTTTCTTTATTCATACTAGTAATCTCGAGGAATATTGAGTCATATTAATTAGGATCGTTCTTCCATCCGATTTGTGCTCATGTTGTTGCGAGTCATTTTTTTAATTTTCTTGGATGTCTCAGAGTGCTGCTTTAGCATTGGATGGTTCTGTTCTAGATGTTGATCAAGTTGATAACCTGATCAAGTTTTGTCCAACCAAAGAAGAGATGGAGCTTCTTAAGGTTCATATATTTACTGAAGTTTTGTTATAATGTTATGTGAAAAATTTTCTTGTTTCTCAGATTTGGCTTGTTTTGTGATTTTTATTGTTTTCAGGGATACACTGGCGACAAGGAAAAGCTTGGAAAATGTGAGCAGGTAATCTTTTGTTTCTTTTCTTTTAGAGAGGGAGGTGCTCATTTTTCCTGTTTCAACCTAGCCATAGGCTACCAGAGATAAGTACGAAAATATTCTTTGATGCTTATTTCAAAAGTAAATATCCATATAGAAAGATGGATAACAGACGAAAAAAGGTTTTTCATAATGTCCCTAGGAAATGATTGCAAAAAGTGCAGCGAAAGCAGAAAAAAGGTATTCTCATCTTGTTTAGCTCCTTAAACCTATGAAATGATAATTTATGTGTCTATTAGGGCATGCAAAATCCATCAAGATCCATAGCTTGTCAGGAGGCATGTGATGCTCCAGGACTTGACGATACTGGATATGCAATATAAGAGTTAATTTGGCAATAAAACATTTTTAGAGCAATCAAAGCTGATAGTGTACCAAATAAATAACCATTAGAATAGTAACAACCACCAGCAAATGCTAATATTATTGTCCTGAAGTTCTTTCCTTTTAACTCACTTTTAAAAGTATACAAAATGGCTAAATTAGTTTGGTCCCTAATGTTGAAATACATAATCAACTAGAATATGGCCCCACATTACTCGAAGGAAATCTTAGGTTTACTTGCATCTGAGTTCCATTGTGTAGTTTAATAAGTGAATAAACCAACTATCACTCAATAAGAACCTCTTTCTATCTTCATTAGAATCTACATTAGAGCTGCTTAAGGTGCATATTTGAAATCGCTTCACCTTATTTATCTTAGTTATCATCTCTACATGGTGAATTGATATATCAATGGTACTATGAAAATAGCATGAGCTGAGAATAGGATTACCATATTAATTACATTGTAGCAACTAAAGAAAATAAATGGCCATGAGTTTATGTTGGCAATAAGTGGATGAGTGGCTTTAGTCTTAGAGACAGAATGTGAAACGAGTATATACGTGAAAAGGTTAGAGTACCTCCAGTGACATATAAGATTTGAGAGTCACCTTAGATGGTTTAGTAATATAAAACGTCGGCCTTCCGATGACCCGGTTGGTAGATTTGTTAGATTTGACCTATGTTAAGAAAGTTAAAGGTAGACCAAAAAAGACTTGGTTAGAAAGCATTAGAAATTATCTTTTTTAAACTAGATTTAAATGAGAATTTGACGCTTAATAGGACACAATAGAGAAAAATGATTAATGTAGCTGACCCCACAAAGTAGGATAAAGGCTTGATGTTGTTGTTGTTAGTTTAGGTTGGCAAACTTAATCAATGAAAATGATTTATTCATTTTTGAAATGCATATTTGGTGTAGGACCGTAGGTAGCTTGTGGAGCTGTGGTGAAAATGTGGAGGTTGAGTTGGTAGGCTAGAACGTAGAGTTTTGTGGGAAAATAGGGTTGGCTAAGTGGTGAGGGTTGGTTCTTAAATTAGTTTATTAGTGAGAAAGTTAGAACTTGATTATGAGTATTTGTATTTTGTTAGGGTTTTGGTGAAGAGGAAGCTGACGACTCTCTCGGATTAGATTTTGCTTGAGAGGTGTGGAGGCTGAGAGTGAGAGTGATAGTTAGAATTTTACTTTGTTTGGAATTGGAGAGAGACCATGATAGGTGTTATTAGGGTTTACGATAGAGGGGAGAGGTGAAAGAGAGGTAAAGAGCAAACTAAGTGATAGGAAACACTTGAAGATTTCAAGTGAAATCTAACGATCTTGACAAAATCAACGAGGATACTTAACAAGTAGAGGAAAAATCAAAGAAAAACAGCCAACTTTATTGAGAAAAATCAACTAACGAAAGAAAAATAAGCAAGATACAAGTGATCTTCAATTTGAGAGGAGGATCGATCTCTCCCGATTCTTTAGACGACGCTAGAGCCCAAAGGAAACCTAAACCTAAGAGATCTCAAATTTCAACCAAATTCAAGATGCCCTAACCCTAGGAAAACAAGCTATTTAATGCATACAAATCAAAAGGAAATCCCTAAATAGTCCCTACATTCAAATTTTCTTCCTAACTCCCTAAAAAATTCTTCCTAAACGGCTCACGCACCCTCGGGCGTGCGTTCGGCGAGTACAAAAGGTGGACATTTCCACCTCTTTTCGTGTAAGTCGGTCCCGTCAGACTAGCTAGACTGGTTCAATGGACCAATTTAACAATACTCCCCTCCCAAAGATCCAAGACAAGACCCTCCATTTTTTCTTCATCACAAACGATAAGAACCTGAAGAGTTCAGTCCTTACACCTATGCCCCGGCGTATATCTCTTGTCACATCTGAAACAGAGCTCCTTTGTCTTCTTCTCCTGTAATTCTGTCTCTGTGAGCTACTTGAAGTTGTCCCCATGTCTTCTTCCTGCAGTCTTTTCCTTCGAAGTCCCCCGAAGAGTATCCGGTGTTGGCTCCTTGAATTTCAATAAGGTGGTGGTCATCCTATACGGGCCTCCTGAGCTGCTCCCTCTTGTCTCTCTCTCAAGGTGCCTCTGATCCTCTACTAATTGAGCTAGCTTCATAGCCTCTCCCAAGTCACAAGGCCTCATTACTCTAACTATTGCCTGGATCTCTGGTGTCAATCTCTCATGAAGTTCCCCTCTAACATTGTCTCATAAAGGCGGTCCAATCGGCTAGCAAGGTACTCGAACATCTCCCGGTACTCTATCACTGAACCATCTTGCGTCAAGATGAAGACCTACTTGTAGAAGTCTCCTCTCCTGCCGGTTTGGAAACGTTCTATCAAATATTCCTTGAACTACCTCCAACTCTGTATGGGTCGTCGCATGTCCCTCAATTGGTACCAAGCCAAAGCCTTCCATTCCAAACATAGGCATGCTGCTGTTAGTCTCTCCTCCTCCGTCAACCCATTGATGGTGAAATATCTTTCAACCTTGTACATCCTCCCCCTCAAAGATTGACATCTTCAATTTCCCCACTGTCGTATCTTCTCCGTTTCCTCTATTCCCTTCATAATTTCCCATTCCCAAAGGGGTAGTTCCCCCCAAGTGTCCCAATCATCCCTTCTACGTTCATACCCAAGCCTTTCATTAAATTTCCATCTCCTTTCAAATTTAGAACCCCTTGGATCATCACAAACTTCTTTTTCCAATTCAGCCCTCCTTTGGTCAAAATTCTCTCTTTCCCTTTCAAATTCAGCACCTTTCCACTCATGTTCAACCCCCTCACGCCTCCTCACATACCCTTTACCCGACTCCTCCCTAGGAATGAGCCTTAGGGAGGCATTTTTTCTGTTTCTTCCGAAATCTCCATCTCCTGAGCTTCCCTTCGTCTGATTGGCTTAGGGTTTTCCCCACTTTCCTGGCTGTCGGTGACTTCCCTCACCTCTGACAACATTTTTTTTTGGTTTGACCCTCAAGCACTTTCTTCAACATCTCCTCCAGGATGGAAAATTTTGAATCGACTTTATCATGGGTGACTGAAATATTTTTCTTTAAATCTGAAACTTGAGTTTGGAGATATGAAATTTCAGATTTTATTTGTCCAATCTCCTCTTCCAATACTTATACCTTTCTTCTCGTTCGTCCCTTTGTCTCTATTGCCATCGTTTGAATTTGATTATCTAATATATTCTTCACCATCTCATGAAGATCGAAAACTTTGTCTTCCACGGATGACATTCTATCTTCTACCGTTGCTTTTATTTGGCTCTTCTCCCTTTCAAGGCGTTCCTCCAACGCATCTATCTTCTTGGCCGACAACAATACCCGTATTTTTGTATGTTCAAAAAATCTGAATATTGACCCAAAAAACAGCAAAAATCCCTTCCTCCGGCAAAAAAACAGCCACTGGATTTCCCGAAAACAGCCCACGAATGGTCCCAAAATCTGCTATGATACCAATTTGATAGGAAACACTTGAACATCTCAAATGAAACTCAACGATCTTGACAAAATCAGCAAGGATACTCTACAAGTAGAGGAAAAATCAAAGAAAAACAACCAATTTTATTGAGAAAAATCAACTAACGGAAGAGAAAAAAACAAGATACAAGTGATCTTCAATTCGAGAGGAGGATCGATCTCTCCCGATTCTCTAGACGCCGCTAGAGCCCAAAGGAAACCTAAACCTAAGATATTTCAAATTTCAACCAAATTCAAGATGCCCTAACCCCAGGAAAACAAACTATTTAATGCGTACAAATCAAAAGGAGATCCCTAAACAGTCCCTACATTCAAATTTCCCTTCTAACTCCCTCAAAAATCCTTCCTAAATGGCTCACGCACGCCCGAACATGTGTTCGGCGCGTACAAGAGGCGGACATTTCCGCGGGACCGGCTGGACTGGTCTAACACTAAGTTCTAAAATAATAAAGGATAACTAGAGCTTTCACCAAAGAATTCCATAAGAGGGAGCCATTCACCAAACCTTCCAAAATGGTGATTACCTCCGATTTCATTTAACAATTCTTTAGTAATGATTTAGAGTTACATGTTCATTAGTATAGCTTATTACTATGGAACAACAAATAGAAGATAAACCTACACTAGTAAGGCATGGGTCGACCAAACCTTATTTGGAAATTATATACTAATTGATTTATCACATTTTTCCTCTTTAGTAATTAATTTAATACAAATCACCCTATCAAACCTATTTTTCTTAATAATTTATTTTTGAGAAAAAGCTCAAAATAGTCTCTTGACTATTAGTAAGTACCCAATTTAGTTCTAGAGTTTTGTAATATCCCAATTTAGTCTCTCGATTACCTACACTAGTAAGGCATGGGTCGACCAAACCTTATTTGGAAATTATATACTAATTAATTTAATACAAATCACCCTATCAAACCTATTTTTCTTAATAATTTATTTTTGAGAAAAAGCTCAAAATAGTCTCTTGACTATTAGTAAGTACCCAATTTAGTTCTAGAGTTTTGTAATATCCCAATTTAGTCTCTCGATTATTGAAAATTAATCCATTGTAGTCCTAGGGCCGAAAATAACGGTTAAAGCTAACACTATAGCTTTAACACTATAGGTAAATGTGAACGGATTTTAGTTAGTACAAGTATATATGAGATTAGT